TGCAAAAACGCCCTGTGGAGCAAACAGGAACGGCTGCTTAAGACTGGCTCACCAGACAGCCAGACTGATCAATGCTCAGAGCTACGTGTCTCATCTCCGGTTGGCATGCTCCTGCTGGACAGCAGCAGGGCAGTCAGGAGTGGAGAGAGGAAGCAGAGGCGTAATGTCAGGAAGTGACCAACGGGTGGCAGTGGTGATCTTTAAGCATGTGTGTGTTGCGTGTGTGTATATGTGTGTTTTCTCACTGGCCTCTTCTCAGCAGATGGCTCAATCATGATGGTTCTGATCTACGATCTCTCCCTCTCTCTTGCTCTCCACCTCTTTTCTTCCCTTCTCTCTAATCACCTCACCGTCAAACTTCTCTTCCACTTTTCTCCGGTTCTCTCTCTCTCTCTCTCTGTAAACAGGGGGCCCTGAGTCATGTCCACTCAATCGGGAGGGAATGAAGGAACGGAAGTAAGGTAGATTACAAAGGAAAGGCAAGAAGGAAAGTCTCAGAGAATTAAAGATCACGGTGGAGGTGGTGCGTGTGTTGCAAGGGAGTGGTAGTGGCAGTAATGCCACAAAACTATGATATTTATACACTGTGTGCTTTGAAATAAAGACCCACAAAAAAGACAGACACATGAGGGGAAAGATGAAAAACTGCAAATAAATTAGCTGCAGAATCAGTATTATTTCAGAGCTACTAGTACTTTGCAGAAGAGGTGTTAATATAAAATAAATTAACTCTCATGCCAATAATGCTTATAGAACAGAAGGCAGGTATTCTCTTTAGAATGAAAAAGCAAATTAAATTAACTGACAGGAAAAGAAAAGAGCATGTGCGAGGGAAGAAGGAAGACATGAGAGTAGAATGAGAAAAAGAAGAGGTCTGGCTTTAGGAGGAAAAAAAGCACAAGAGGAAGCGATGAGGTGACGAGCCAAAAGAGGAGGAGAGGAAGGTAGAAAGGAGGGGAGGAGAGGGGAGCAGGTACCCTGGCAACAGTTGCTGTGGCAAAGGAGCAGATGGCACCCTCCGCAACGCCAGGCAGACCCGAACGAATCACACATACTGTACAGTACACACACAAAGAAACTCAATTATCCTACATTTCTACTTTCTTCAAACTCTTCTTCCTCTGTTCATCAGTCCATTGTCCATTCTCTTTGTCTTAATCCGTGAATCTAGTTAAATAATGTAACAAAGAGCATCCGCAGTCTGTTTCTCAGTCACTCCCCTGATGCTTCATTCTGGCACTTTGGATCATCTGGAGTCAGGCCCCAAACTCACTGCTGTTCATCAGAAGTGGGTCAACGGCTAATGAGACTCAATGTTTAGCTACTAACTACTGCAAAAACTGGGGTCTGAAAGAGCAACCGCTACTGTATGTTTGTAGTGCGAAAAATATGAGAAAGAAAAAAGGGAACAAAGGGTGAAATGAAAAGAGAGGTGAGTGTATCACAGGTTGTTCCAGAGGATGTGTGTGTGTGGAGGCTGTCAGTTTTATTGGGTTAGGAAGCACGGAGAGCCCAGGTGATTACATTACATGTGAAGTGAACGGAACTCTGTGTGTGTGTGTGTGTGTGTGTGTGTGTGTGTGTGTGTGTGTAGGTACAAGAACAAGAGGGGAAGAGACTGTCCATTTCATTCCTATGTCTCGTGAAGCAGAAATATGTATTTACTGTATTAACAGTCTGTGTGTTTGTAAGAGAGTGATTAAAGGTGCATCTGCACACACTGGTATGAGCACACACTCTCTAGTTGGGATGAAATCAGCTGCTCCTATGGTGGCCACACAACAGTAATATTAAAGGCTGGACTTGCTGCTGTGAAATAACACACACACACACACACACACACACACAGATTTAAACAAGACAAGCACAGACCACCTTACAGTTCCTGCATAAAAACGTTAAATGAAACCTAAGCGGCTGCCAGCAGCACAGCACTTGTGTCTGTGTGCTCTCCAGAGTGGCTCACATCTGTCACCCTCCTGTGTAGGAGAGGGGAGGGAGTGTGAAACAAGGAGATCAGGGGAGGAAGCAAAACGAGTGAGGAAGGGATGGATGACAAGACGCTTCATTAGACTCAGACTACAGCTGCAATCGGGCTGAGAAAATGAACAGGAAGTGCATCTGCTCACAGTGTTTTTTGATTGTGCATTCAGATCAGCAGTGAAGCTGCAGCAGAGATGGACGCTGCAGCAGTTGGTAGTTTACGGTACGGATGCATGGCATGTCTCTGGTTAGCATGGCATGGCAGCTTGAAGGTCACAGGTTTGACCTCTTTCACAGCCAGAGCTCATCAGTGCCCGAGTGTCCTTGAGCATCTTACTGGTCTCACCCCTCTAGTGGTGTGTGCTCGGTGTGGAAATACAGTTTGGCTATCAAGAAGCTGAAAAGATGGTGGAAGTAATAGACAGACACACAAAAAGAAGCTGTGTGCTGGAGTGTTGTTACATTTTCAAGGGTGCCAGCCTGAATGAATGGACACATGGATAGTAAGAATTATAATAAAATGAAGAATAAGTAGTACACGGCAGGGACAATATTACTATCTGGATATTTTATCTGATGTGATTTTTTTGGCTGCATTCATCCTTTAGACTGACACTCTTTTGGCATTATTCATCTAACAGCACAATTTTCATGCCTTAGTCTAGAAATATTAACGTCCCTCTCCACTCAAAATATGTTTTTCTTGTTTGGCTGGTTGATCCTCACTGTGCATGATGATGTACTGCATGTGCAGATTTTGACACTAGAAGGCTGTTTTCATATTCATCTCCTGAAGGGGGAAATTTTCTGTGCTCTTCACAAATCTCAGATTAACACATATACGAGCTATGGCTACAACTAATGAGTCTTTTTTTATTATTGATAAAGCTGATTATTCATTTCAAAACAGTTGATTCATTTTCTCCATAAAATGTCTGAAAATAGTGTCTTATTCAACCATGAATCCAAAAGCCTCTAAATGTTCAATTTATGATTGTGACAAAGAAAAGCAACACATTTTCACATTTGATTCTGGAATATTTGCATTAAAAATGACTGAAATGATTAAATCAATTTTCAGAA